GACTCCTGAAATATCAATGTCTAATTCAAAGGAACAGAATAAGTGAAAAGAATTTTATGCTTATACAAGGAAACAGCTGAAAAAGCCACTTGCTCTTTCCACATCAGGGTCATCACTCAAAGAGTGAAGGGAAATTGCTCCCTCTCTCCCTGCCGTCAAAGCAACCACAGCCACAAAAATACCCACCACTCAGATCCTTTCTAAACTTTGCTCTAAGCATCACCCCTCACCTCTGCTGTGCTCTCTTTTATGTCAAGAAGTCAAAATAAATACTGCTGGTGAGGACAGGTGTTCTCCCAGTGAAGATACTGCTTGAGAGTTAGGCATCCTCTATTGGAGTGCCTACGTTCAAGTCCTGGCTCTACTTTCACTCCAGCTTCCAGCTGATGTGCACCCTGGGAGGCCACTGTATTGGCTTAAGTAGCTAGGTCCCTGTCACCCACATGAGAGTCCCAGATTGAGTCCCAGGCTACTGACTTTGACCTGTCCTAGCCCTGGCTACTACAAGCTATCATGGAGTAAATTAGCAGATGGAAGGTGTGTGTATGTGTGTGTGTGTGCACGCACGCGCATGTGTGTGCTTCATCTTTCAAACAAAATGAACAAATAAAATAAATAAATACAAGTTGCTTCCTCCTTCCCAACCCCCAGAATAGATTAAAAAATCTTCTAGTCCTTTTCATGAAGCCTAGTACCTGACCTCTCCTTGACCCAACAGCAGTTACCCTTCTGTGCACATCTCTGTTTCCATTACTAGATTTGAAACTCTGTATAGTCAAAACTGCTGCCTGGGGACCAGTATTGTGACTCAGCACATTAAACCACTGCCTGCAATACTGGCATCCCATATGGGCTCCAGTTTGAGTCTCAACTGTTCTACTTCCAATCTAACTCTTCTAATGGGCTCAGGAAGCAGTGAAAGATGGCCCAACTTTTGGGGCTTTTGCTATTAAGATGGGAAAGCCAGATGAAACTCCTGAATCCTGGCTTCCACCTGACACAGGTCTAACAATAGTGGGCACTTAGAAAGTGATCTCTCTCTCAAATAAATTTTTAAAAAAAAAAATCTCTTTATCTCCTTGCGTACACCCAGAACCCAGCCCAGTATGGGGGCACACTATGAGAAATCAATAACCTAAACAACAGAGAAGTTGGTTTTTAATCCTAAGGAACTAATGACCCCATTTTTAAAGAAAAGGTGAATGTCTCAAAAAATACATGCTGGTGGATTCTCCATCAGGTATACTCACTGAGAATTGCCATACGAGACATTACAGGAAAAGTTATAGAATAGTAAAAGGTATGTAAGGCTCATGCTTACATTGAAGAACTTAAAATAATGAGGCCAGAATAACTATCAATGACAGGAGTGCATTTTGGAGATGTGAGCATGTCCTGGAACCAATGGGGCTGACCAAGTCCTCCCTCTATTTTCTGATCAGAAGCCTACTGATTACTCCAGTGGAAGCATCCCAATTTCCAAACGTCAATGACCTATGCCCAAGTAGTTTCCGGCTGCAAGAAAGTCACTCAGAGAAAATCTAACTGAGGAGAGTGTTTATGTGACTCTACACTGTCTGGCATTAGTGCAGCAGGCCCAAGTGCCTGAGGTGAGGCTGAAGGGGGGCCAGGCTGAAGGGGGTTGAGGAAGTTGGATGGGAAGCATGCAGCCTGCGCTTGTGTGTGTGCTATCAGCCAAATGGAGAGCATCTGGGTCCTGTCAGGGTTTCCAGAGATCTTCCCTGTCTAACTGCAGTACGAACAAATTAAGATTGATAAATTGTATGGCTCCTTCTGGCTTTAAAGATCCCAGATGCTCTGTTAAATTAATGGCTGCTCTATCTACACTGCATCTGACACCAAAAGAGAACCTTCAAAACATCCCAGAGCCTTACTCCCAACCTTCTGAGCATGCCCAGGGCAGCTCAGCTTCCTTCAGGCTGGATTTCAGTATGCAAACTCCTGCACTGAATTGATGCATTTGTGTGTGTGCCTGTGTGTACACACATACACAAGCATTCACATTCAAAAGAGAACTTATCTTTCCCACAGGGTACAAGGATACACAGCCTTGACCAGCAGCATACATCTGAAACTTGCCAGTAGTTCCTTAAAGACTCAACTGCCTGCTACAGGATAGCAGGAAGTTATCCGAGGAAGACTAATTCATCTGTGTCATTTGGAAACTACTATTTTATACAAACATAACATGAGGACTGTTCTGTTCTGTCTAAAGATTGTTCTATTTGGTTCTCTACTTGGTGGAAGGTATGTCTTATTTGCATCAGTAGGGAACCTCAAATAGAGCTGGAGGAAAAGTATTTGGAGCACTTAGCTAAGGCTATTTTGTTCCTGGGAGCTTGCAGAGGTGAAATATAGTTGGTGAGTAGTCTTTTGATGTTCACTCAGGAGAAGCAAGGCAGCTTCAAACAGCATTTTTCTAATGGTAAATGTAGCATCTTTCTGTTGGTTCTTCCTTCAGAATGGAACTAATTCAAAGGAAATATCTCAAATGAAGGATAAGCATCCTAGGGAGGTACCAAAGTCAGTATGGAAATGCCCTACAAAGTCAGACCACTGAATCACCAACTTCCATATTTGCTTTCTATTAATAGCACTAAAGGGATTTACACAGATTTTGTCCTCTACCGCATCATCTTCAACACTTAAAATGGCCCTAAACGTCTCTAAATTGTTTTCCAAGAACTTCTAATGACTTAAAGCAAAGACAGTACACTCAAGCCCTTCCCAGCAAGGCATTCAGGTCTCCATCCAAGACCCCCGGTGTGGGATCTACACTGCTTTCCTCAACTGGTTGTCATGCAGCTTTCAAAGTCTTTCCATTTCCAGAGCCCAATTATATTACCAGCAAACCAACTCTCACCCATTTGTCATTCATTCATCCATTCAACAAGTATTCGTGGAGCTCTTACATACTGGATTATATTGACGAAGAATAAATGTGGAACATGGACTAGAAGCATCAATATAACCTAACTGCACAAATGCAATTTTGGAGGCTCTACCTCAGACTTAACTACACTCACAACTATGGGTGTGAGGCCTTGGCAGTCAATTTTTTAAACAAGCATTATAGGCAATAACGATGCACATTCGACTTGAAAAACAGCAACTGAGAATAAGGCCCCACCTGTAGAATGTACGTTCTGGTAGTAGAGAGGGTCAATAAAGATCCAAGAAATGTGCATTATAATGTCACGCAATGCTCAATGCTGTTTTCTTAAAAAGGAAATCAAAGAAATCGGGAAAGAGTAATGGGGTGCTATTTTATACAAGGCCGTCAGAAATGGAAAAACCTCTCTGAGGAGATGACACGAGAGCAGAGCAATGAGCAAATTATGGGAGGAAGACATGTGGCCGTCTGGCTCACCATCATAACCATGTCTTCTGTCTCCCTTCAGAGTTTCCAGATAAGTATTAGACCACACGGGTGAGAAGTCTGTCTAACCAGCCATTACAGAAGGGAAATTTGAATCATGAGAAAGTAAAAATCAAGTACCTTCTCCAGGCCCCCTTCAAAGTCAGAAGACAGCAAAATAATCAAGCACCTCAATTTTTTTTTCAGTTACCAACTGAAAAAGACTTAAGAGAAAACTTCTTGATAGCCAAGATTGTGAAAAGGCAGACTAAGGTGCCTAGAAGATGCAGGAATGTATACCTGAAGGAAAGATGATTCCCCAACATTTGTGGTTCATATCTGATTCTGGGGGAGGCAAGCCTGCACAAAATGACCCTATGGACATACTTATTTTCAAGATCACAGACATCTGGTATGTCACTTTTTCCAATGATTATTAGGAAAATTCACACACATATAAAAAGAAAACAAGGATCATCACGCAAAGACTCATCATTAGAATCCAAAGTTATGAGCATTTTAGCATTTTTTTTTGTTTCTAGATAATGACTAGATAAACAGACATTGAATATTGCAAGTCACTTGAAAGAAAGGTACAGGTATCATGAAACTACTTCTGGAACATATAACCATGCATTTCCTAAAAATATCTCCTAAGAGACATTTTCCTACCTAATCACAATATTAGTACTACCACTAAGAAAGCTACTGATAACTTTCTCACATATAATCGATATTCAAGTTTCCCCAATTGTTTTAAAAGCACTGTTAATGACTTATTTAAATAAATGCTAGGCTTGTTAGAGACTCAAGTTTTGCTTGGTTTCAGATTTGGTTATTAACAAAGGTATTGAAATTATATCAAAATCTGACATGGTGATGATTAAAATCCCAATAGAAAAGGGAAAAAAATGAAGTGGAGACTGAGACAGGGCAGTGGGAGATGGAGCCTTAGACATTAATGGGTTTATTCAGCAAGCAGACCTGTTAGTGAACATGGGGTGAGGTGCATGTTAGTCAGCAGAAGCATCAAAGCATAGCAAGAATCCCTTCCCAGGCTCTGAGTGTACCTATCGCCCACTTCTTTGACATTACTGCACTCTTTGGGGAAAAATTCATTCTATTCACTTCAAATATGGAATTATATGTTTTCAGGGGCTGCTTGTATCATAAAGGTAGCCTGCATACTGGGATTAACGATACCAAGCAAATGACATTGGATGACCCCAGTCAGTGGACAAACAAGAAGAGTGACAGTCAAAGTCACCTATGAGCAGCACAAATGGAAGAGCCAAGGAAATACATAGTCAAAGAGTATGTGGCTCATGGCAAAATCTTCTTTGCTTCTTTATGACATGTGTGGAAGAGGTGCCTTCTCTACTAAAACCCTGTTTTGAGGGGTTTGTCTAAACACTCACCCATGAGAGATGTAAAGCTTGGCTCTCTATAGCAAAATTAACCTGCATTGAAAAGGATAACAGAAATCCAACAGACTATGAGGCCTGTTCATTCAACAAGTATTTACTGAACATCCGTTAGAGACACGAAGCTGTTAGACTATTTAAGGGACTCAGGAAAATGAGAGGCTGGCTCTGTCTTTCAGAAAGTTACAGAGCAGTAGGAAGGTAAGTAGCAGACATTTTGCTGCAGACCCAGAGTGATTTTGGTGCACAATATGGTCTTCAAGTGTAGGTTTCTTAATCTTAATTTACAACCCAAGCCTGTCTGCGCCAGCCTATACTGGCCTTACTGAGACTTAGTGCGAGCTATTTATTAGTGCTGTTACCTGTTAGTTTCAAGAGAGCTGAAACTTTGCTCCCTGACATACATACCTCTACTCACTAGTGAGCAGGCATGTTATATCTCTTATACATAATAAGTGCACAAAAGACTTTTTTACCCCAATGACATACACCCCAGAGGTAACATATTAGAGCACACTGTCTTATTACATTGTGTGCTACCATTTTTAATTTGCACTTAGCCTGTTTGATATCCCATACTTTGTAATACAAAGGGGTTAAAGAGGTGATAAGGATAACTTATATAACTAAGAAGTAAGAAAATTGGTCTTTTTTCTTTTTTTAATGAAGTGATTTTATCCTAATTTTAATCTGATGCGATGAAAATTATACAGGGAGAAGCTATTGATCCCACTCTTGGGCAGGAAAAATATTAGGAACATTGGAATTGTTCTAACTTCTATCCTAATTCATTGATCTTCTTCCATTTTAAGAAAATGCAAAAGTCCTCTTTGATGCTTTTTCATGGCTTGATAAGAAACCAAAGTTAAGTTAGATCATTTAACTAGTTCATGTATCATTTAGACAGTTTGCCTAATTGACATTTAACCTAAATAGTATTTTCAATAGCAAATATAATTTAGAGACATAATTTCCAGGATTACTGAAAGTTTTAGCTACTACTTTACTCAATAGAAAGCAAGTTTAATTTTTAACATTTAACTTTCAAGACACTGAATGGCTCTCAGTCTTCTCTCAAAAATATACCAGATGTGTGAAATAAACAGTTAATAATTATCAAGACTTTGAAACTCTAGCTTGTGAGCTTTTTGTAGTCTAATAACCATTCAGATAGTTCCCAGCAATGTTCTCAGTGTGTTGCAGTAACTGGAGGCATTCTCCAAGGCCCACAATTTGATTTAAATTTGCAATTGTTCAAATAGCCTATGAGAAAGTTACTGCATCCTATTGGGGAAGTGGGATATCTACCAACAATGGCTAAAAGTTTGTACCTAATGCTTCTCAGGCATGGCTAGAAGAATCCAGCTAAGCTCCTGCTGCTGGCCAGGATCAGATCATCTGCCTCCTGTGGTGCCATTTAATTAGCTAACTTCAGGAAACAAGGAGGCTAACAAGGAGACTTTGTGCTTCTGTGTCCCCTGATCAGTTGTACTGTGAGGGGAATGGCCCTTCGGCATTGGCTTCATTGGGCCTCTTCCTGTCCCGTCCTCTTGGCACAGAGGTCATCCCAAATGGCACATTCTACTAACCACTGTTCCAAGCATGAAATGACTTGGCTGATGAGAGTCCAGGCTCTAAGCTGTTATCCCACTTAGATCTACTTCTCTTCCCACCCTGTGCTCCTACCCTGCCAAAAGGTGCCACTGGCTTTCCTGGCTCAGTCTCAAAAGTGTCCACAAATCAGGTGGTTCTTCATGTCAGGTAACATTTACAAAAGAATAAAAAAAGAGAATCACATAAAGACACCAACTAAAACAGAGTCTCACTTTCTGTCCTTGGCGCAAGGCTTGTCACTGAGTTCTATTAATATGGCCAGCACCTCGTGGCCTCTGGGGCATTTTTATTCAACTTCAGACTCGAACCTCTTTTTCTTCTGAAATGACTCCAAAGGCTGGTCCCTTTCACACCTCAGCAAGCCTAAGGAAGGAGCCACATTAGAAGAGGATTCTGCGGGCTCGGTGCAATAGCATAGCGGTTAAGGTCCTCGCCTTGCACGCCCGGGATCCCATAGGGGCGCGGCCCCACTTCCCATCCACCTCCCTGCCTGTGGCCTGGGAAAGCAGTCAAGGACGGCCCAAAACTTTGGGACCTTGCACCCACATGGGAGACCCGGAAGAGGCTCCTGGCTTCGGATCAGCATAGCATCGGCCGTTGCGCTCACTTGGGGAGTGAATCATCGGATGGAAGATCTTCCTCTCTGTCTCTCCTCTCTATATATCTGCCTTTCCAATAAAAATAAAATAAATCTTAAAAAAAAAAAGTAATCAAAGTATACTTGTACTTCCATGTCCATACTTCCGTATCAATACAGTACAATTCACAGCAGCCAGGACATGGAATCAAACAACATGAACTTAAATAAATGAAGACATCAAACTTACATAAATGGAACAAATACTACTCAGCCATTACAAGATAAAATCCTGATCATTGCAGCAACATGGATGAAATGGAAGGACATCATGCTAAATGAAATGAGCTAGGTACAGAAAGATATCACAAAGTAAACATTTTCCAGCAGTTATATTAATGTTTTGTCAAAAAGGACTAAGAAGGTTTAAGAAGTCACTCTGGATTTTTTCTTTAAAATCAGAGAAAGGATATCTTAAAGAAGAAACAGAAAGATCTTTATAAAGTTTGCCCTTCTGATTGATCAAGGGGTCTAGCTACATGACCTGAAAACTCCAAAGTGACATCAGCATCAAAGCTACCTTTGTCCTGAGCTGATCCCAGCCAATGACTGGCACGGTCTGGCTCACCCAGTATTCTAGGGCATTCTCTTACGACATAGTACCTGTCTTTGGCTCAGGCTCTCACTGGTGGCCTTGCTGAGTACTGTACTCTTGCTTGCTTCCACTCAAGCTTCCTTCTCGGACTCCTCTACGTGGGCTCAGACATGCATAGCAGTGTGATGGCATCTCATCTTTCCTGGCCCCCACTACGTTTCTCTCCCATAGGTGGCTTCTCTACAGATCTCCAGGCATTACCTCATCTCAGCACCTCCTCTGAGAACCCAGACAGACCAAGCCTGTGGTAATTCCACAGAGCACAGGTGCACTGAGAGACCAAGAAGGGCCTCAGAAAACCTGGAGACTCCGATTATTCTTCTTATTGTTTTCTTCCTCTATAAAGGGTGAGGACTTTGCTGAAGCAGTTGCAAGCATACTTGGGACACATCCCAAATCCAGTAGCTTGGACTTGAGTCTGGGTGTGAGTCCTCCTCTTCTGCCAGTCCCAGTTTCCTACCAGTGCATAGCCTGGGGGTCAAGGAGCAGCAGGTATATTTGATCCCAGCCACCAACAAGGGAGATCCCAATTACAGACAACTGGTTTTGGCCTGGCACACTGCTGGTAGCTACAGGCATTTGGGTAGTGAACCAGCAGATGGAATGTTTCTCTGAAGAGAGAAGGATGCCAAGGAGGAAGGGAGGGAGGGTGTGTGTGTGTGTGTGTGTGTGTGTGTGTGTGTGTTTCAAATAAATAAAAACAAATAAGTAGAATTTTTAAAATGAAGCTAATGTCCACCAGATTCAAAACAGAGTAGGTTTTTTGTTTGTTTTTTTTACTTTCAGATTTTTTTTTTAAAAGAGCAACAGCAGCTTTTTGTAAGCTTATTTTAAACTTCCTCTGGTTTCTTCCTCCCCATCAGCCATATGTGTCTTTTCAGCAACTTCCGACTCCCCACTTCAGATCAGATAATAAAGTTCATTCTTTATTCCTGTCATGTACATTAGAGGAGACTCCTCTGAGATTTAAAGTCTAATTAATCCTTTTCATCCCAGTGTGACACTCTTCTGGATGACTTTGGGGACCTTTTCTTGCTAAAGTCCCCTCTTTTGAATGCAGTGGCTTCCGCCTTTCATGGCGATTTGTCAATCCTTTGTCCACCTTATCAAGTCCTCAGAAAGGGTCAGCAGCCCCTCACTCTCCTGCCTACCCCTGCAGTAGGGAGGACGTCGGAATCCAAACATCTTCCTGCTGGGCTGCCAAAAATCTAACTCCTTTGCAAGCTAAATACAGGCAGCCTCAAGTGTTTAGATTCAGAGTCCCCAAATCAACATTTCAGAAGATACCCTTTTACTTTAGTAATTAGGAAGAAAAACAAGCAACTCAACAGGGAAGTGGAGGCTTTTCTTTGATGAACTCTCAGGAATTCAGGGATTCCTTGGGAGACATTTCCTCCTCTGAGTGAGGGGCAGGGGTCCTGGGGACAAAGCCAACACCAACTTCCCCCCTACCTAACCCCCACAGCAGGTCCTGCGGCTGCAGGTCCTACACCCAGCATGCTTCATCCTCTCGGGTGATGTCAGGTTTGGCTTCAGTCCATAGATTCCTGTGGTGGTGCTTGTGCCTGCGCCAAAAACCCTTGCAGAGCGATGCTCAAAGAGATAAGGAGGAGAAAGACCCCCAGCGTGAGCACAACAGGAATCTGCAACTTTGAGGCAAGGTGCTTTGATTTCACCCTTCCTCCTTGGTTGCCAAGGCTGCAGGCCTATCTCCAAACTCAGTCTATCCCAGAAATTCTCAGGCTTGGGTAAACAAGATGGGTTAGAGACCCACTCCATTCAGGATAGCCCTGACAAGTTCCCCCAAAGAGCTGTCCTAGTGGTAGAGGAGTGAGAGTGGATCTGACCTCAGCAGATATAGAACCATCTCACTCCTGCGGCTTCCCAGCAGATCTGACCAGTGCATTTCAAGGCACTGACTTAGTTTAGGATCCAGTGTCCCTGGCTCAACCAACAGGATTAAAATAGAAGGCTTCACTAGGCAAACAAATAACAGCACTTTTTTTTCCCCCTGCTGCTATTTTCCTGTTCCATTTTATTGTCCTCTGGGAATCTAGAAAAACCAAATATTATCCATAATAATTTCCTCTTATCAGAGGCCACAGGCAGGAGGCTTTGTGTCCCTGAAGAATTTGCAGCCTTCCTCAAGGAGTCCTTCTCTCACATCCTCTCCTCTGTTATTTATTGCGACATTTCCAAAATAAACAATGGTGAAAAGCAAACACAGTCTCAGACAGAAGTGCCCAAGAGCAGAAGATTTGCAACAGTATTTAGATTTCAAAAGAAGACTTTTGGAAGGAAGGGACCCCATCCATACCCATGGGGATAGAACTGGTGGTAGGCAACAGGCAGGAGCCTGTCTCTTTAGCCTGCTGAACTCTGCAGTCACCCACACAGGCTCCAACAATATACACTGTGGCACTGGGCCTGTGATAGGAACCCAGGCTGCAACACTGCGGCTCCATTCCGAAAAGTAAATATCTTGCTAATATCTACATTCTTCACACACACACACACACTTCAGGCAAGATGTGGAGTTTTCTTAGTAAACCTCATCGGAAACTTTAACACTTAATGTTAATCAAGGTTAATCTTGGTTGACAAATAGCCTCACTAAGAAGTAAGGAATTCTATCCCCATGGGTATGGGTGCAATCCCTTCCTTCCAAAAGTATTC